TCACCTCTTGTGCTTCTGTGATAGAAAGCATGTGATTACTTTCCTTTATTTGGTATTCTTGTTCTTTTTCTATGTCCTAATTGGAATTTTGTTGAATAGCTTTTGTACCAACCTCTGGTTCCATTTTGCATTGTATGAAGACTTACATTGTGCCCTGATTTGCACCATTACTCATATCTTCATTTTCTCGAACACCTGGCATGTCAAGTATAACAAAGCGATCCTTAGGGATATTATCTAGGGATTTACCAATAAATCTTGGCTCTCACTCTTCTAATGGGGTTTGAATAACTAAATTCGCTACAACAATAGTAAATCGATCATTGTAAAGACCTCCATCTTTTACAACCTCAAATTTATATGGACCCGAGTTGGTATTATTGGTAGGAACCACTAGAGCTATATCCGTTTAGACTAAATTGCTCATATGTTGAAAGATCTACTTAACTACCGGTCGATTGATCTCCATCTTCTTTGGTTCGATAGACCTTTTATCTTTGGAGGTGAGAGTCATCTTCTCTCCCTCCAACTTCTTTCCTTCCTTCTTGATCCTCTAACAGCATTCATCTTGATCATGGCCATGTTTATAGAAAAAATTACAATATTTGGGAAGATCTTCATACATAATCTTCTACCAAAATCCTTCTTTGCCAAAACCAATCCAAACCCGAAACCCTATTCGGATTTTCCTTCAACAAATTAACTTTCACACAAACCCTAGCAGCTGTTGTATGGGTAAGGCTAATAGTTGCCAAATCAACCTTTAAAACTGTCCCTACGACCTAGGAATTGGAACGAATAAACTGATCATTGTAGAGATTGACCGGCAATCCTGGGAAACTACGGAAGGCTCTGTTATGGGCCCGAGCATAGGATCTCGTCACGGGGCGGTCCACGGGGAAAACTCCTAGCCTTCCCTTGCCCTTCCCTTTGCGTGCCGACCCTATTATGGCGAACTAGGGGGTGATTTGTCCAAGAGATCACCCTAACTCTCCTAAGATCTTTCCTTGATCGAAAACTCAATGCCTTTACTTCAATTCGTTGCTCTTAAATAGGAGATTACAGAAGGAAATTCCTTATTGGATTCGGCTAGGCTAGAGTAATCCAACTCAAACTCAAACTCCTAATGGTAACACAACTCTTACTTAAGAAGATAAGATAAGATAAGGTTAAGGGATGAGGAATGATCTAGTTGGCGGCGAGTTGGCGAGCAGAGCTGTTGTGGTAAGATAAGTGTGGACCCACCCTGATGAGCTATCGTGTGGGCCCCACTCTACTGCTGCTACCGGGCGGTGCGCCCGTCTCACAGTGCGTGCTGTTGTCTAGTGCTGCTGCCGTGCGACTGCCTAGTGATGCTGCCGTGCTGCGCGCTGCTGGGCGGTGCGTGCTGCTACCTATGACTGTGCCGCAGCGTGCTGCCGGGCGGTGTGTCCATAACATCACACCCCTCTTGGACAACGAGCTTGTCCTCAAGCTCGAATTAAGAATGGGTGTCGGGAATGACTTTGCCCTCCTGGATCGGGTTCCAATGAAGGGGGTTCATCCTCATCTTCCTCTTGTTCCACCAGGAGGCAGAAAAGTCTCTTGCACTTGTGCTCGGCTGTGTAGAGTTCATCGCAATTAAAACATTGCCCCCTCGCCCTGCGTTTTGCCATCTCAGCCCTGGACAAGTGCTTAATAGGAGGTGTAGCGACGCTGCTCCCCACACTGAATGCTGATCTGGAATTGGTGCTCGTCTGTGGCTTCCCTTCTCGGCTGGCTGTTGGATATGGAGCCATGCCGAGTGGTTCCAGGGATGCCTATGCTGATGGAGGCCGCCCCACACTGAAGGTTCTGTGGCTGAGTTGTAGTTTGCGTTCGAAGGCGCGTGCTAGGTTCATGGCTGTGACCAGGTTGGGCGGGCTCTACATCTCTACATCAACTCTCAAAGGTTCGGCTAGACCAGCTGTGAACATATCCACCTGTTGGTCTAGGCGTACTGAAGAGGCTCTGGCGAGAAGGGTCTGAAACTGCCACTGATACTCTGCTACGGTCCCGGTCTGCTTGAGGTTAATGAGTTCCCCCAAGGGGTTGCTTATTAATGGGGGTCCGAACCGAAGGAGGCAGTACGACTTGAACTAATCCCAACTAAGACCTAGTTCTTCCTGCTCCACTCAGTAGAACCAGAGCTGCGCTTCTTCGGTCAGGTGGAACGCGGCCAGGCTGACCTTGTCCCTCTCCTCCGTGCGCTGATTACGAAAGAATTGTTCACAGCGCTACAACCATCCCAATAGGTCACCGCTGCCGCTGTATGAGGGAAACTGCAGACGACTGTATTTGGGTATAACCCCTGCTGCTAGGGTGGCGTTCTGTCGTTCACCGGAGCCCTCGGCCCGATCTGAACGGTGACTGTTGTTGGTGGCCGCCTCTTCAGGACTCCTTTCTCTGGTGGAGAAGTATAACTCCAGTAGACGCCGAAGCTCCCTGACATCCTCTTTGACTTCTCTTACTTCCGCGTGATTTTCCTCGAGTCGGTATTCCAGTTCGTGAACCTTGGATGATAGCTGCTCTATGTTGCCCATGACGCTAGGCTCTGATACCAGAATGTTATGGGCCCGAGCGTAGGATCTCGTCACGGGGCGGTCCACGGGGAAAACTCCTAGCCTTCCTTTGCCCTTCCCTTTGCGTGTCGACCCTATTGTGGCGAACTAGGGGTGATTTGTCCAAGAGATCACCCTAACTCTCCTAAGTTCTTTCCTTGATCGAAAACTCAATGCCTTTACTTCAATTCATAGCTCCTTAAATAGGAGATTACAAAAGGAAATTCCTTGTTGGATTCGGCTAAGCTAGGGTAATCCAACTCAAACTCAAACTCCTAATTACCTACTCCTAATGGTAACACAACTCTTACTTAAGAAGATAAGATAAGATAAGGATAAGGGATGAGGAACGATGTAGCTGGCGGCGAGTTGGCGAGCAGAGCTGTTGTGGTAAGATAAGTGTGGACCCACCCTGATGAGCTGTTGTGTGGGCCCCGCTCTACTGCTGCTGCCAGGCGGTGCGCGCGTCTCACAGTGTTGCTGCCGTGCAGTGCGTGCTGCTGCCGTGCAGTACGTGCGGCTGCCTAGTGCTGTTGCCATACGGTGCGTGTTGCGTGCTTGCTGGCGGTGCGTGCTGCTGCCTATGACTGCACCACAACGTGCTGTCAGGTGGTGTGTCCATAACAGGCTCCCAACCCAACTCCAAGCCGGGCATTTGTCGAAGAAAACGAAACAAAAAAATCTTTAATCGCTACAACTTTACATAACCAAACCCAAAAAAAGAAAAAAAAAAACTCACCTTCATCTTGTAACCGAAATAGCACATGCTTCGAATCTAAAAACGTAACAACTATTGCAGCTTCGAGAGCAAACATCCCTACAACAAACTCCCTGATATCTGCCATAGATGGAACGAATAATGACCATGTACGCCTTCGTCTTTCATTGAGTTACTTGTAAAACCCTTACCGTTTATATTTCGTTCATTTAATTAACGAGTTTGGAGACTAGAAATGCGGTTTACAGTCCTGCACCATTCACCCGATGGCCAACATTGCTTTTATCCATTGGAATAATTCTTCAAACAGTAGTTCTAGTTCCATGTGATTATTGTAGCAGGGAGAAGGTGACGTGGCTCCTGGTTTTTTTGCATATATATACGTGCATGTGCTTTCTTCCCCCTCTTTTTTGTATTTTTGTATTTTTTTTTTTTAAATTCCCACTTCCTCGCTTTTACCTATGCAGTTCTTTTACTTTTACTTTCACGACAAGTCTGCTTTCTCCCTCCCATATTTTCACTCCCCTAAAAATTTTCTTCAATATCCTTAAATTTTTGTTGGTCCCGTTCTGCACTTTGGGCTCCTATTGGTTATTTGTAAATTTATGATAATATAATGGTGTGATTTTAGTGTGAAGGTCTCGCTGAACTCCAAAATCCTAAATTTAAGATGCTTTTCATAAGTTGTTTGCTTTACATCTCAACATCCGTCATCAGCGCAGCAGTTATCAAATGCCACCTTGGTCCTTGGAATTTGGTTTGTTTTCCTTTTCGGGATAGGCAATGTGTGTGGGTGGGGTGATGAAGCTGTGGACCCTGTACAATGATCTTAGTGGGGGTTAGGAATTAGGAGAACTGGAGAAGGAGGTGCACGCGGTGCTCGCTGGCGGACACCGATGCCCATCTTAGTCTTGTCTGGCCTTTTCAGTGAGACCATCTAGAGACCATCGATGCCCATCGATGCCCATCTTAGTCTTGTCTGGCCTTTTCAGTTTTCATGGGCACCTTGGCCTTTTCAGGACAGGCCATTTTATTTTTAGAACCCAACTTAGGCTGGCCTGGCCTGGCCTGTTGTTGGGCCTCGAAAGAAAACTCAATTAAAAATCTCAAACTGAAACGTCGCTTTCCACATGCTCCTTTTCAATTCAACTAGAAGTTGTACAACGGCCGAAACAACGACGCTTTAGGATCAAAAAAGAAGGATAGATCTTACGGCCGTGGCCCGTGGACCCCGTTAGAAATTATACGCACAACGAATCAAATATTCAACCAACAAGTAAATACCGAACCATCCGACGGTCATCCTTTTCCGAATTCCCAGTGGTAAAATCTAAAGTCATCGGCCGGCCGGCTGTTCAATTCTTTTCGGTTCAGGAAATAATAATAATAATGATAATAATAAATTATTAAACAAATATAATAATAAAATTGAATAGGCCCGTTTTGTACACCAACCAATGAAAAACAGTAGAGATTTTAGAGCAAGGGACAGAGTGGGCTATAAATTATCGCTCAAAAGGCTGTGGAGAAGAAAACGCGCTTGACCTTGTTAACTTCGCCCGTCGACTCTCC